AAGGGCTTTTGTTCCTCTTGGATGGCTCTAGGAAGGCTGCTAGGACCCCAGCTTGGGTTTCGGGATTAGGGTAACCTGAGTATCATAAACCGCTTCAAGGCTAGGATTAGGCAGGCTCAGGTCTAAGATGCTTTGCTGGGCCCCAGGGGGATATGGAGGGCTCCTCACTGCCCTCACAGCCACAGGTGTTTGGCTGGGGACCAGGGTGTACAGAACTCCTGGAACCTTTGAGTGGCAGAAGCAGAAACTCAAGAGTTCTTAGAGAGTTAGGCTAGACAGCAGAGGCAAGGACCTAAAAGGTTGGGCCTATTCAGGGTGGATCTTCAGGAAAGCACTAGGGCCTACAGCTGCCAGGCTGAGGTCCTCAAGTCTGGAAGCCCTGGTCCCAGTGGACCACCATCAGTGTCACAGAGATAAGAAGCCACATCTGTGAAATGGTCCCAAAGTTCTATCTTTCTTCCTTTCTAGAGCCATTCTCAACCCAGACAGCAATGAGCTCAAGTAGTCAGTGGACGACACGTGGTGGGTATGGGTGCCATGACAGGACAATGTTCGTGGACAGATGCTAAGTTCTAGTACATACAGGAAAGTGCACTTTTAGCTGTTCTTGTTCCGTGAGGACCTGTGGTGTCAGTCCTAGGTGGTGTTGGCCCTGTGGAAGCCTATATTTGCTGTATGCCCTCACCTATCATGGTGGATTCAGGAATCTGGATGATGATCTAGCCACGAGTGTAGGGCTTGGAGATGGGTCTACACCCTGAAACTTTGAGCTACTGAAAGTAGGGCTCAAGGAATGCCTAGCTGTGAGGTATCAGGCCTCCAGCCCTCTGCCCTCCTAGAATGTTATCATTGGGAAGTCTCTTCCAGCTCTGATTAAGTCTCTTGGCAGATCTCTGTAGAAGAAACTTCTATCCAGTTATTATCCATACTGAACATTCTTGTCGATAGTTGACCAAGCCTTGTCAAGCTGCTCTGGGAAGTTCCTTCCTTGGTCCATGAGGGGGGCAACAGGCATTGGCCCAAAGGAGCTAGAGTGCCAGCCTGGGCTATGGGCTAGTGTCTACAGAACAATGTGAGAGTTCCCACTTGACGTAGAAGCCCAGCAGAGAAGCTTGTACCCATAGCCCTTCCTGGCTACTTTCAGCCTGTGAGGCACAGCCAAGGTGTGAATGTGAATTTCTATTTACTTATGCCCCTGCCTGACACAGGAAGGGTGTAAGACAGCTCTCAGGGCCATGCAGCATTCAGCCAGAGTCCAGAACTAAGAAGGTGGCAGAGGAAGGAAGAAACATGACCAGGACATAAAATGTCACCATTGCAGGCCTATCTGGTTCTGGACTTCTGCTGATACCAGCATCAGGAAGAACCATTTGAGAAGTCAGAGAGGTAGGAAAGACAGCTTAACTGCAGCAGAGGCCCTTTCTCAGCCTCAGCTCTGCAGACAGGGAGTCTCCTTTGCTGGGGGCTTGCCAGGGAGGTGCAAGGCTGCTGCCTGGAGGTCCATGAAAGGCCAGGGGGCAGGGTTTAGAAACCTGTCAGGGTTGGGGATATAGTTCAGCAGCACAGCACCTATCTGGAAAATGCAAGCTTAGGAATTCATTTCCTGGTATGAAAGAAAGAAAGAAAGAAAGAAAGAGAGAGAGAGAGAGAGAGAGAGAGAGAGAGAGAGAGAGAGAGAGAGAGAGAGAAAGAGAAAGAGAAAGAGAGAAAAAGAAAGAAAGAAGAAAAGGAAAGGAAAAGAAAAGAAGGGAAAAAGGGAAAGAGACAGAGAGAGAAACAAACAAACAAACCTCTGTCAGCAGTCAACCACATTTCCATGAAAGTAGATGAAATTGGGGGCCAGGGCCTTAAATGGACAGACAGTGGAGGGTCCCTGGCAGCATGGGGCTAAGGTTTAGCACAGCCCAGGCTTATAGGTGACTCTGCTTGGTGCTCCCCTTATTTGAACAGTTCCTGGTGGGGGGATACCTGGTCTGGAGAAGGGGTTTGCATTTCTGCCCCAGGCTGGGTTGGGCTGAGCCTTACACCTGACAGCAGGTTCACAGCCTATAAGTTTGAAAGTGCATTTTCCTCTGAGGCCAGGGATCAGGATGCATCCCCCAGGGGCCAGGCCTGGTTCAGGTCCCATCTCCATGGAGAATCAATTCACAAATGCTTCTGAAGGGAGCTGAGCCTTTGAAGCAATGTGTTTTGGCTCTAGTCGGTCCTGGTGCTTGGGTCTAGATAGCTGCTGGGGCTACCTGAGCCAGTCCTCAGTGTCCATCTGCTGGCCTCAGATACCAGCCACTGCTATTTCCTGCTTACTGGGTGGAAGACTAACCCCTCCTCATGTCTGATGGTGACCAGCCCTCAATGTACCCATCATGTTCTCTAAGCAGAACTAAGAGTAGGGTGACCAAGAAGGACAGGCCATTCAGGGGCCCTGAGTAGGGGGTAGTAGCTCTTACAAGGAAACAGGTGAGCCCAGGGAGGCATAAAGAGCCCACTTGCCAGCCTAGGACAGACACAAACCCACCTGTTACATGGACAGAGTCCTGACAGAGGGGTTGGGCACTTAAGAGTCTGAATGGGTCAGGAGGGTTTGGTGAAGTGGCTTATAGTTCCAAGTCTCTTGTGATGCCAAGTCTCTTGGACAAGACCCCTTCTTGCCATCTCAGACTCACTTGCATTGGCCTCTGGTAGCAGACCAATGCCCCTTCCACAGCCAGGAAAGAATGATCAGGACCATGTCCTCTGCTGCCCACTGAGTGAAGCTGGAAGCCAACAGAGTTGCAGGATGCTCAGAATGGTGGGGGCTACAGTCTGAGCCTCTTAGCTGTCACTGTAAATTCACTACTTCCTGTGTCCCTCTCCAGAGTCCTGCTGGGTCTGCCCTCTACTGCTGCATTCCAAGCCAGCACTCACAACTGCTTGTCATCCTCCTCTGTATGCCTACCTCCAGGGGTCATAGGACATCATTAAGTGGGTCTGGAGGGTCTGGAGTGTGGTGGTGGTAGGGTGATGAGTGACCTGCCCCACTTCGTAGATGAGGGTAAGGCAGAGAAGGGGCAGCTTGGCTTAGAGCACAACCCTCCACCCTTTGCCAGCTCCTCTCCCTCCCATGTCCTTACACAATCCAGAGCCAGGAGAAGTGTGCAAGACACTGCCGGGGGTAATTGTAGGTTACATGGAACAATCTGAGGAATTAAAATCGTATTTTCATTGCGCCATAAAAACATGCAAAGGCAGCAAGGAGGCGGCCCTGGGAGTAGGGGAGCCTCTGGCACTCTGGCCCCTCCTTAGTTGCCCTGGGAGGAGGGGACGGACAGTGGCAGGCTCAGAGAGGTGTTGGCCAGGCAGTGAGCCTGGAGCCAGGGCAGTAGGGACCCCCAGGACAGGACACTGCCTGCACAGCACATGCATCCTGCTCCTGACTCTGGCCCTGCCATGATCTCAGGGCATGGAAGCCAGGGTGAGCAGCCCAGGGATCCCGCTGGCCTATGCATACCGGCCTGTTGGGGTCCTCTTATACCTTGCCTGCTTCTACAGCTGCCTAAGAGCTTTGGGCTCATGTCCCACCATAGTTATCAGGTGCCTTCTGGGTCTTCTACCTATTCTTATACAATACCCTATAGCCAAACCAGTATGTGCTGCTCCTGCATCCAGCCCCAAACGTAGTCCAGGTGATGGCAGTCCCCAGCTCTTTGTGATGGAACTCCTCCTGCAACACCTGGGACCTGAGGCTGTCTGGGGTGTGGACTGTGGATATTTGGGCCTCTCCTGATGTGGCACTGGACAAATGGCACAGAAAGAGCAGCAATTACAGGGGCAGGTGTACTGATACAAGACCTGTTGTAGGGGGAAGGGGCATGCAAGCAAACCATATGGATGGGCTGTGGGGACACAGATATGTGGGTGGCACTCTGGCTGCTGGTGGTAGGATGGACGCTCAGCCCAGAGGGCCACCTGGTATGCAGAGGCCCCACACAGGCTGTGTCATTTCTATCACCACGAAGAGCACCAAGGCCATTTCCAGTTCCTTGTTTGGCAGAGAATGCTCCCAGGACTGAGGAATCTATGGGATCCCTACAGGGCTGGACCCCAGAGGGCCCCTGCTGGCTCCAGGCAGCAGGTGTTAGGTGACCTCTTTGCCTCCAAGGCAGACAAAAACGGTCAGGCTGGAGGCAGGCTCTCCCCACAGGATCTTTGGCTGGCTGGGGTGTGCCACCAGCCGTGCGTTAAATGGGACACGGCTGATCTGGCTCTGCACTTGTCAGGAGGGCTGGGCCCGGCCCAGCACTTGGCATCTTAATTGGGCGTCTGAGAGCTCCTGCACACGCTTCACACCTCAAGCCAGGCTCCCATAGGCCCATTAGGGTGCAAACACATTCTTTTGTTCGCTGACAAGCAGGGTCCCATCCAGGGCGCCCGGGCCGGCAGACTAAGTGATGTTTTCTTAAGGAAGACACGGGATTAGCTGCGGCAAAAGCCTCAGCACAATGCCGAGCCCTACCTGCGGCTGTCAGTGCTGTCTCTGTACAGTGACTGACAGGCGCTCCCTTAGCCCATCAAGCTTCAATATGCAGGATTAGCTACAGTGCAGCCAAGGAGCTGACTTGGGGGGACCACAATGGAAAGGTAGTGAGGTGACTGACGTTTGGGGACAGAAAACTTTAGATGCTCCTGCCAGCTCCTATCCTCCACTACTCCTCCCCTGCCAGAGGCTCCTGGGAGCTGGGCCACCCTTCTTCAAGGTGCAGAGATCTCAGCAGTGATCTGTACATAAGGTCCTGGGCCCAAGAAGGGTCTTCTGGCCTGAGGCCAGACAGCTGTGTGGGAAAGGGTGGGGACAGGTCAGTTCATCTTGCTTGGGATAAAAAGGGACAGGGTCTGCCTCTCCCACCCACCAACAGGGCTTAGAAACTACTCCCATTCTACAAGAAGGCTTGCAGGCTGGCCAGGTCCTGCCCTGCTTGCACAATCCTAGGGTTGCACTGGAAACACCATGGGCAGAACACACATTAGGAAAACACCCTCTTTATTTGCACTCCAGAAATGCCAGGGAGTTCAGACATGGACTGCCCACAGGGTGGGTTTCTGCCCAGGCCATCATCAACTGGCACTGGGGACCTGGGGGGCCAGAAGAAGGGCGAAGGTGCAGGCATGGGACTGACTGCCCCTAGAGCCATCCCTGCAGGGCACACGGGTCATCTGCACAGTCACGCTGCTGCTCCATTCGACATCTCCCAGCTCTCTAGGAAGAGGCCAAGGTTCACCAGATCTGGCCTTCCAGTCCTGCCAATGAAGCACAAGGTCAGCACAGGTTATCCCTCACATTGTGGGGCCACGTCTCCCACTGTCACACAAAGGACCCTCGAGGGATGGATTGGAGCCAAACCCCTGCGGACAGTGATTCTACTATGCCCTCCAGATCAATGAATTCACAGGGAGCACTGCAATACTCCAAAAATATTTTGAAAAAATAAAAAAAAAAAAAATAGCAACTTCCTAACCAAACAGCTGTATAATAAATATTCTGATAAGTTTCCTCAGAATGCCTTTTGTTTGTCTGTATCAAAGGCAGAAATAGGTCTGAAGGCCATGTAGAGCCAAATGCCAGAAGGCCTGGATGAGGACCCAGCCCAGATTTGCTACAGGCAGTCACTTCTTGGGCCCCAATTCCTTCCAAAGGGAGCCTACTGCTCTGCCCACAGCCTCCATCTTGAGAAGAGAGAGGGCTCTCAAAGGATCCCCGATCTCAGAAGAGGCTGACAGTTATGAGGGACATTTGAGGTAGACTACACTGCGCAGGCCTGAAGAGGCTGTGTCTGACTGAGAGCGGACAGGGCTCTGATCACGTGCATGCTTTTGGCGGGAGCCAGGGAACTACTTGCTAATTTCTTCTTCCTTAGAAGAGGACTATGATCAACATAGTGGAGACTTCCCGCTGCCTGTTCTGCCACTGGCTTTGCAAAGCTGTAACAGAAACAGATGTGCAGGGCAGCAGCAGGCCATGCATGAGGCAGCATCTCCACCTTCTGGGCAAGAGGGAAATAAGTCAGCACTGGCACTCTGCAAGGACAGGAAGGGAGGGCCATTTCCTACCTGTAGGCTCCAGGGTGTGCTGAGACTGTCCAGGGAAGGCTGTGGTATGAGCCCAACCTTGATACCTCTTGCACACTGGGAGGAGTAATGGCCACACAGGGACCTTGGGATACCCTTTAAGGGCAGGACCTTTTGAGGCCTCCCCTCCTAGCCCAGCTTCTGGGCCTGAGGACAGAGCTTGCCTGCTGAAGGTAGCATGGTAGGTACAGCTTCACCAGGCACCTGGCAGAAGCCCGTCACAAAAACTCCCCCAACCCCAGCCAGCCATGTGCTCTAGCCTCAAACCTGTGTACCTGGATGTGGGCCTCTGTGAAGACTGGCAGGTGAGATGGCATATTGTGTACCCATAGCCTTGCAGGGAGGGCAGCTTAACCTCAACAGCCAGTCACTGTGGGGTCCAGGCCTGAACGCTTGGAGATACGCAGCTTGACTACTTCCTCAGAGCAGGTGGGGTGGATACCTACTGTCCGCATCACCTGTGCGTAGGAAGCCCCACACCTACATGCAAGGGGGTTGGGGAGATAGACAAGGAATTAGCACATCACCCAGACCCTGGGAAGGCCTGAGAATGCACACAGCCTCCTTATTGTTCCCATGCCTTTTTCCAGCCTATGTGGTACCTGTCTATCTCCCTCTCAGCAAATGCCCAGTGCCTATAAGGGCTCACTGCCCATTCAACCCTCCCTGCTTGCTCTGGCCTGGCCTCCTGCCACTCTAACCCTCCCAGACACGGTTTCACAGATCCTTCCTCAAAGCCTGCCCCTGCACCCCTTCAGGCTGTAGCTCACATCACCCACCCAGCGAGCCAGAGCCTCTTCTTTCTACTGCAGCTTGCACTCACTTTGCCTCCTGCCTGCCCTGCCCAGCTCTTCTACTCCGACCTTGCTCACCTGGAGGCCTTGCTCTGTGCTCACAGCACCTACTGCAGGAGGCGGGCAGCCTCCTGCTCTCTGGTGGCTGTGCTATCATCCTGGTTTATTTTTATTCCCTGTGAATTACCCATTTATGTTCGGTATTCTTTTAGGTTTTTCACTCTATAATTATTTTTAATTTATAAAAGCTTTTGCATATTAATGAAATCAACCCTTTGCAATTGTATTATAAAAAAGAGGCTGTCATAATTTAAAGGATTCTCTAGAAATTATTCCAAAAACTTAACTACTGATCTGGGCAACAGCATACTAGTGCACACAGATGGCCATAGATTTGTGGGAGAGGGTCAGGGCTGTCCCTGTCCCCTGTGAGCCCCAGAAATCTTCCTGAGGTCAGAAGCTGGTGCTGTTGATGGCCCAGGCCACCACTGCTTACACAGGGCCCCTGGGCCAGGCTCCCAGGGTCACTTATAGCCTCTTTATCTGTGCCTACAGTAGGCCCCATCCCCACAGGGTCTAGATTCTGGGCAGAGACTATAGTGGGCTTATAGGGTTCTATTCAATGGTCACTGGACTCAAATGACATCCCTACTGCAGGCAGCTCTGCAGCTTAGAGATCAGAGATACATGTCCAGGACACAAACCCACCTTGGACCCAGACATTAACCTCTGAGGCCCATGTCCTGGAAGAATCTGATCCCCATAACCCATCCACTGCCCCAGCACATGTGTGCAGGGCTAAGTGGGTCTGAGATTTGCTGCCCCATGATATAGGTGGCCTCATACATGGTTCCAGGCTGCCCAGTGTGGAGGACTGGGTTTCCCAGGAGAACTGACCCAGACCCTCCATCTTGCCTGCAAAGAGCCCCTCATCATACAGGTCCTGCTCCTCTGACCTGGTCCTCTCCCTTCGCTTTCCTGTTCCCCGGCTCTTTACCCCCAAGAAGGCTCTTGGTCATGCTCATGTGCCCCATCATACTGGGCAGCCCAGCTGTCTATATGCCTTCCTCCTTGTATCAGTCCTCCCTGTGTCCTCTCTGCTTTCTCCACAGCTTGTCTCTGCATGGCCCTCGTCTCTGATGCACTAGGCCTAGACTCCTCCTGAGATGCCATGCATGATCTCCCAGCCTCCAACTCCCCAGACAACCCACCCTACCCAGAGCCATCTCATGGCCCCTATAGACCTTGAGAACCCTGAAATACACAGCCTGGAGAGCTGGGTGTGGCTCAGCAATATAGCACTGACCTAGTATGCAGGAGGCCTTGAGTTTTATTCCTAGCACCACTGACAAAACTTGCACAGCCTTAGCCAGGGACCCAGGCAATAGCCCAAGCTCCAGAAAACACCCAGCAGCTCTGAATGGCTCTTTCCTTGAACATTTGAGACAGATCTTGCTCATTACAGCACTGGTGCAGACCCAAGCTTGATCATTCTGACCATATAGAAAGAGACTCAAAGAGTGATCCACGGTGACAGTGATTCCCCCCAAAACAGGCTGCATGGCTCTGGCTTGAGTGCATGTGGCTGAAGAAAGCTTCAGCCTGCCACAGTGAACCTGCCACATTGAGGAGAGTCTGATGAATCCCTGTGGCAAACATGTGCAAGGCCACAGTGTACTTCACTTTAGGGCTGCCAGCTTTTGGTGGGACACCAGCCTAACATCACAGAATGGCCCACATTCCTGCAGACTTACTTGATCCCCAGAGCGAATCCTTGAGTAACTTCACCGGCATTAGGACCGAGGAAATGCAGGCCCAGCACCAGCTGTGGGGGCTCCCTCAGGCACACCATCTGAAAGCCACAGAGTTTCAGACATAGCCCAGCCCCAAGGGACCCAACTGTGACCCTTCTCCATGGCCTTGGCTTGTGGGCAAGAGTGGCCCTTGGAAGTTCACGATGCTCTGCTCTGGGACAGCACAGAACTCCCTACACCTGCTGCTGACTCTTTCCCTCTTTCCTCCCTGGCACACCTAGCCCTAGGCCCTCAGGGACACTCACCTTTATGTAACACTGGGATGCATCCCGTTCAGCCACTGTGAACTCCAGAGGTTTATAATACGCATGATAAACCTGAGTGACAAAACACCAAAATTGTGACTATAGAAAAATCAGTCCTGTGGGCATTTTATAGCTCTAACAGAAATGATTCAGGGAAGTTAAACCTTCTCAGGGATCTAGAGCCACCCACTTGGCCTGACCATGTCGTCTGAGATAAGGACACAACTCAGTCACTGCAGAGAGTGTCCTCCTTACCCATGCGCAGACAGCGATTATTCTGAGCTAGAGTCTGCAGGATAGTCCTCCTCCTGTTGTGAACTGCAGCAAGAGAGCAGGTACCAGGCTGCTCAAGTGTTAACTGTCATGATGTGTCACAAGGTCTATGGCTTGGGCCAGGGCAATGGAGCACCCCCTGAGAGCACATGTCGGGTAGACACAGGCCCCTGTGACCACTGCAGGCTAGACAGGGTGATCATAAGCTGTGATCTGTGTGGGGGTGGCGCAGCCCACCCATGTAGGCAAGAATGAGCTGCCCAGCCTCCCTTGGGCACCTCAGCATTGGCTGGGCCCTACCTTCAGGGAGGAGGAAGGGGAGGTGGGGGCTGGTGCAGGGTGACCAAGGGGCAGGCCAGGCCCTGGCCACACTGGAGCTGTTGGACAAGGGTTTTCAGCACCCATAGAGGGTTTGACAGAGCATTTGGGGCTGTGGCTGGGTTAAAAAATGAGCAGGGCCCTCACATGTGCTGTACAGCCATTATTAATTAATAGTGCTTCAGAGAATATTGTTCTAAGCAAGACAGATCTGAAAAGAAAACAAACAAAGGGTATTTGGCCATTCAACAATGTGAAACATAAAACATTATAAATGCCATGAACATATGTCCCAGGGTACTTATGATGAATCAAACAAAAATAGCAAATAAAGCGCTACAGGGAAGGCCAGCCTGTCAGGCCCATCCAGTGATGGAAGGGCTTGAGGTGCAGGGAAAGGGGCAAGGCCTGGAGCCCAGTGACTCATTCCCACAGGGCACAGGCGCCCCTGCCCAGGCTACATGGAGTCTGGTTTCTCCCACCACCTGCAAGCTGCTATAGCAGGAAGATGAAACCACGCCGAAGGCTTCCAGTGTCTACAGCATGACAGGTTTTAAAGCCTGGCTTCCCTTTAGGCCACTTGAGTATGGTGTCACCCCCCAAAAGCAACCTTGCCCAATAAAAACTGCCTTCTTAGGGTAAATGCCATATATGCTTACAAGGACTAGAAGAGTTGGGGATGAAGACTGGAGCTCAGATTGGGGCAGGATGTAAACTGTGCCTTCTAGATCCCCCAAGGAAGTCTCCAAAGAGTAGAGCTTCCAGTAGGAGAGGATGAGCCAGTGGGGACGGGGTGGGGGATGGAAGTGGATCTCAGGCAGAATTCAGAGGACACCCAGAGCAGCCATTCCAGGTTGTAAGAAACACATGCCCCTGTGAGGTAGGGAGAGCCACAGTGGCATCCTGGCACCTTCTGTGACAAGCACTTTACCTATGGACTGGGCTGGTGTTTGCACGCCTTAAGACTCTTGATAGGAAAGTAACAGTATCACAATGGGGACACTGATGGTACTGGGTACACCTATAGCACAGGTGGGAGTGGGACTGGAGCTGCTGGACTGAGAGGCCTCAGAATGAGGTAGCCAGGGATCTTCCTTAGTTATGACATGGAGAAGCAGGCAGGCAGCCACTGAGGCAGAGGAGTCAGGCTAAGCCACACACCAAAACTGCCAGAGAGGCCTCTGCCTCATTAATTTCTGGAACTGCCCTCCAAGGTACCCATCCTGTGTGTCCCTCCCCATTGTATCAAGGCCATCGTCCCAGGCTCCAACACCCTGCCCTGACAAGCTGCAGTGCTGGTGAGGCAGGCACACAGATAGTCCTGCTCACAGGACCTCCATCCAGGGAGAGGCCATCACAGGCCACATAGGAGCCATGATCTTCTGACCCTACCTCAACATGCTCCTGTCCATGGCGGGCTACAGCTTCCTCTTCTGACAGCCCCACACAGCCATACTCCAGTGGAGTGAACACAGTCGTGGGAACCTAGAGGCAAACTCAGAATCAGATGTGCCTCTCGGCCCCCCAAATTAGAAAAATTCCTGTTGCAGGACACAAAGAACAGTGGTCATAGGCTGGGGCCAACTCATGTTGTTCCTGGGCTGGATTTGGAAAGCCAAACCATACATACCTGTTTATACATATACCTGCACATATACAAATCTGTAGGTGCATTCTCACACATGTGCACAAAACACTCACTACAAACCCCTAAATGCAGCATACATACACACACAAACATGTACACTCAAGTGCACATACATACTCTCTCCCCAGGAAACCAGCCTCAGCCTCTTCAGAGGACACATGGGGTCCTTCAAGAGAACTCACATTGTCATAATCCATCAAGTCTGAGGACTGCCCGAAGAGCCGCTGAGCCAGGAGCCTTCCTGCCATGATGGCTGTGGGTGTCAGCTCAGGTCGTCCCTGATGGAAGGAAGTAGGGGTTACCTTAGACATGTCCAAAGGAGCCAGTGCAACCCCTCACCACCACTCATCACCTTCCTAGTAGGCAGCACCTTATAGAAAACCCCAAACACTATGCAGATCTGGGAGGAGCAGAAAACTTCCCCACTCAAGGGCAAATCTTCCAAGGTGAGAGGCGCAGCATCCTGGGGCCCTCAGGGCTGGCCTCCCCTATCATAGTCTGGGGAGATGCCCACAGTTCTGATTATCTTTTTTGAAAGACAAAATGAGTTGCCAGTAATTCCAGCCATGTCACCCTCACTCAATCAAGGCTTATCTCTCAGCCCTTCTCGAATTGATGAACTCAGAGGACTGTCCCCTCTACAAAGCCCAGAAGGGATCCTCACTACCACACCCATTTACTGGGATTCTGGTTAAAACAAGCCCAAGCATTTCATGTTCTCCTGACACAGCTTGAAGTGAATGTCATAACCCATGACAAATCCCAAATCATAGTGTCATTCTGTGGGAGACCCCTCCATCCCGGCATGCACCCTGGCTCAAGTGTTTTTGCACATATCGTTCTGGGACCAGCTGCCAATCATCTCTACAACAGGAAATGCAGATGTTGTTTGGCATTCCAGAAATGAACAGAGATCTGCAGAGATAATTTGGGGAAGCAGTCTGCACATTCCACCATGCCTGACTAACTGCGGAAACTACCATGTCCATAGCCCACAATATCTCATTAAACAATGGCCTGACCCCACCCCCACCTCATTCTTCCCAGACTCTGGCCTGACAATAGTGTGTTAACTTGGCACTGCTCAGAACAACTTTTCTGAGTGGATTTCATTTTTTGTTTTCAGAAACAAAGAACGCCTTTTGTGTGCTAAGTATTTCTGGCAACACAGTCTGAAAAATGACCATTTCTACCAGGCAGTTTGGGGTCTTGGAGCTTGAAGGCTACACGTTTGTGCAGTTGAGGGAACTTCATCTGATAGGTATAAAGGAGGCTTCCTAGATACACAGAGATGTACATGGTGCTCTGGTGGCAAGAACATGCTTCCTAAGGTGCTTTAGTCACAGAATTCAACAGAGGACTACAGCCAGGGGCCACCATGGCCAAACTGATCACAGGCAGGGGCCAACCAACTGCAATTGCTCTGCTAAATTGGCTGGTGGCATAGGACAGTCAAGGTGTGAAGCCATCACTGGGGGAGGTGGGGAATCATACACAATCCAATAGGACAGAGTGCAGCCTCTGTCCCCATAGTCCACTCTGTGTGGAGCATCTTGGAACTGCTGCCAAGGAGGCAGAATCTGGCAGGTGTGGGTACCTGAGTCCTGTGCCCTGCACACATCTTCCTGAGCCTGGTAAAGGGTCCTGACGGTACCTGACTGGTGGCTAATGTGTACATGTACACACTGGTTACAGCCAGTGGGTGGCCCCTCTGGTACACAGGGGCTGTGATGGCCCAGTAAAAGTAGTCCTTGCAAGGCGTGTCTGTGAGACTGACTCATGTCCCACATGAGGGGAGCAAAAGAAAGGCCTAGCCCTGCACAACCCTCAGCCCTGGCCTGTCTCTATGTATGGCCAAGCTTTCCTCTAGCTTGGTGTGATCCTCCAGAGCCATACAGGAGGCCCAAGGGCAGGACAGTTCCTCAGCATAGGTGACATCACTTGCTTGTGGCCATTTAGCCACCTACTGGCCTTGGACACTGCTCCCACTCATCCTAGGCTCCTCCTAGCATTTCTCAAAAGTGGGTTCCAGAGTGAACCAGGGCAGCACAGAGCCTTGCTCTCCTGAGACATGACTGTCCTTGATGAGGCTGCTGTATCTCCTGACACCTGAAATAGTTCACCGACTCACTGTCCTCTGTGACCCCTAGAGAGAGGCACCGCATGTGGGTGACGGTTTGTTTCTGCAGTTTTCCTAGTCCTAGTGCTGAATCCTGGTAGTAACACCTGCTGGGTGAATGGGTATTACAATGGGGTGGGCTGAACAGTGTCCTTCCAAAATTCAAGTCCACCTGGCATCTCACAAAGTGGCCTTATTGACAATATGGTTTTTGCTGATATAATTAAGGTTGTAGTGGACTGGGGTGATGACAGACAAAGTGTCAAGACAAATAAGGGCATAAAGACACACAGGAGAGACAGTTATGTGACAAAAGGACAGAGACAAATGATACAGCTAGGATATGAAGAATGTCTCGGGCCACCGAAGCTGGAGAAAGCCAGGTGTGGTGGCACATATATAATCCCAGTGCTCAGGAGGCTGAAGCAGGAGGATCACCAGGAGTTTGAGACCAGCCTACACTACAAATCCAGACTGTGCCTCAAAACACAAATCAAAAAGCTGGAAGAGCCCAGAAAAAAGGCTCTCATAGAGCACCGTGAGGCAGAGGTGCCTTGCCCATATCTTAAGTTCAGATTTTTTGTTCCTCATAAGGTAAGAGAATAAGTTTCTATCATTCTAAGTTTGTTATTATTTGTCCTAGTAGCCCCGGGACACAAACATACAGAGGACATGGGCAGGTCTCACAGCAAAGAGACAACAGAGCCTGAGGACACGGGGAACACTTTTGGGCTTGTTCGGCCTGAGGCCTCGAGTCACCTTCCCTAAGATTTGCTACAAACATACAGGACAGGCAATTTATTCCTGAGGTTGTGGGGACCACTTACTCAGGTCTCTTGCTGGGGGTCCATGAAGGACGGGGATGAGGACTGAATGTCCCTGAAACATAGAAAAGCATGCAGGAACATCCACTAGGCCTCACTTGGGTTGCTCTGGCTCCCACTGTCCAGGGGAGAAAGAACAACAGGGAAAGAGTTGCAGCTGCAGACCCGGAGGGTGGCAGCAGGCTGCAGAGCCTTGGTGCCATTTCCAGGTTGAATTCCCCACCCAGGAAAGATGGGACTGGCCCCCACGCCACCGCAGCACAGACAGCAGAGGCCCTGTCCCATGTGCAGCCTCAACAGGGAAGGAGCTGAACCTCCCTGCAGCTCACAGGGTAAACTGAGGTCAAGAGGGCAGCACAGGGGTGGAGGATTGTTCTTTGACCCCTGTGGGGGCAAGATGATGCCAAGGCTGGCCTAGTAACAACTTCAGTAAAATTCAGCTAATTATGCTTACAGCCATTTTTGTTTTCTTTTGTTGTTTTGAGACAAGGTCTTTCTAGGTAGTTCAGGTGGTCCTTGAACTAGCTATGTAGCCCAGGTGATCCTCCTGCCTCTGCTGTGATTAACAGGTGTACACCACCACATCTGACACTCACAACCATTTTTAAAGCTGTTCCATACCAACCCTCTAGAGAAAGGAAAAGAATTTGAAAGAGCAGTGTGTCACCCAATCCTTCCCAGAATGCACCCTACCAGCCTTGGGGTCCAGCTCAGCACCTCGGTGTTTGAAGAAAGAAGAATCTCTCTTCTGCGTGCTCCCCCAGGCCTGGCTGGGGCAGGTGAGTGGTGGACTTGGGTGAGCAGTCCGGGCTACCAAGGCTGGCCAGGTAGGTATGAGCTGTACCTCAGCAACATCTCCAATAGCGTAGATGTGGGGGATGGAGGTGGCCTCCTGGGAGTCCACGACAATCTTTTGATTCTTGGGGTTGATATTCACTCCTGCCTTCTCTAGGTTCAGACATCTGGTTTCTGGGACTCGACCTAAAGGAAAGTCAGAGACGGTCGAAAGTGTTTTCAGTGGTTTTTACCAATGTTCCTTTCATTTAATTCCATCCTCTCACCAACCGTGCTAACAGGCCAGCCAATGATTCCTTTCACATAAAACATTTGAAGCTTATTTAAATCATTTCAACCTGGGCATAGTGGTATATGCCTGTAATCCCATCACTCAAGAGGCTGAGACAGGAAAATGGCAAGTTCAAGTCCACCCTGTGCAACTTAGTGAGACTCCATCTCAAAATTTAAAAAAAAATTTTTTTTAAAGAGTTAAAGATATAGCTCAGTATGAAGGTCTTGATTTAATCCCTAGTATAGAAAAATATCTTGAATTCAGGGGTACTGGCACACACTTACTACTTTCAGCTACTCAGGATGCTGAGGTAGGAGGGTCACCTGGCAGCCCTGGAGTTCAAGGCCAGCTTGGGCATAGGGAGACCTCGACTCAAGAAAACAACATTAAAATATTTCTCAGAATGGCCACTTAGGAACAGTCACAGGGTGAAGCACAGATGGTACTGGGGGCTCCTAGCCTCTGCAGGTAGCAGCCTTCCCATGGGGAGAGCTGATGGGTATCCAGATGAACATTTTTCAAGCGATACAACACCAATGCTTAAGGTGAGATGGTACTCATTGAAGAAGAAATACTTCTCAGACACTGCTTTCCGGCATATGAGGAAGAGCAGGTGCTTGCCAATGCAGCTGCTGCCTAACATCAGAACACTGGGCACAGGAGTCTAGAATTATCTGTGGGCCCAGGCCCAGCTACACCATCAACACCAGCATTAGTGGAGAGACCTGCCCTTCCTTGGAGCGTGGAGTGGTACTGTTGGCACCTGATGCTCTGGCCTCACTGTGCTCCCTACACCATAGTCCAACACCATCAGGCAATGAGCACCACAGGCTCAGGCCTCCTCAGAGGGACTTCTGGCTCCTGATGGCTGCCTCCCATCTGGACAGAATGAGGTAGAGGCAGCCGAGCCCTAGGCTACTGATGATGTTGGTCCCAGGGTCTGATTCCCCACCCAGTTGGTTTCTTCTCTCCCTGCCAGGTCTCCTCAGGTTCTGGCCCACATCATGCTGCAGGCTCTAAATAATGAACTGTGTTTTCTGATCTTGGGTCCGGAGGCCTGCTGGACTCTCAGCTTGGTTCAGTAAGCTTTGGAACTACTGTATGCCAAAGAGCCAATGCCTCCTGCCATCCATGTACAAGAGACCCTAGACAGCCATTCTTTCTCTGTGAGCAGCAGTGTCTTCATCTATAAAATGGGCCAATATGGAACCAAGATAAGACAAAGCATCAGGCTCCCAGAGAGACTCCCTGCACCTGTCCATAGGCCACAGGGCCCTGAAGGACACAAGCTTACAGCAAAGCCTAGCCCTCTGGCTGAACTTCAGCACAGAGACTCCCTATCTTGACTCAAGGGACTCTAGGGGGAAGTAGGACAGGCAGGCAGAGAACCTAAAGAGCATGCTGCCTTCCTGTAAGGATGGGGAAATACACACACACACACACACACACACACACACACTCCTCTCCCATATGCATATACATGTACCCACATTCACAAAAGCAATCAATGAAAAGATAAAAATGATGTTCTATATAAAAGGAGAGAACAGGATAAAAGGACAGACATGCAGACAATACTGGTCAAACAAATCTTGTGACTTTTTCTGTTTCCCATACATGATTTATATTTTCAAAAAATAAAATTAGATTAACATAGGAAACAATTCCTAGAAATATAAACAACCTAGAACAAGTGAACCTAGCTGCATATGAGGCTGATGATAAAACACACGAAAACATCATTGTAGTGCTCCCTTGGTAGCCTCAGTGGAGTGATTCCAGGACCCCTCTGCCCTGCCAGGGCATCAAAATCCACAGATACTCAAGTGCCTTATACAAAATGGCACAATATTTGCACATAACCTACCAATATGCTCTAATATACTTTAAATCATATCTAAATTATTATAATGCATAAAACAACCCCAATGCTAGCTAAATAGTTGTTGTACTGTATTAAGAAATAATGACAAGAAAAGCCTAGATAGTTCAGGACAGTGAAATTTAAAAAAATATTTTTCATTCACAGTTGGTTGAATACATGGATGGTGAACCCATAGATGAGCTCTGACTGCTATCAGAGAAACTAAAAAAGTTATGTTCTCATGGTGCACCTTTAGAAGATTATATCCTAATATACATAAAAGATGCAAAAAGGTCTGTCTAACCCAGTAGGGCTGAGGGTGTAGTTCAGTGATAGGCTACTTGCCTAGCACACAAGAGGCCCTGGGTTCAAATTCCAGCACTGGAAAAAAAATCCTGATGTTAAGTTTGGACTGGAAATTATGTTTTTTTCTAAAATACAAAGTTCTGAGGACTGACCTCTGGGGAGGTCTAGCAGAAGAAAAGACCTAGTGACCCTAGGCCCTGAGTAGGATCTTTAAAAGCTCCCCCCATGGGGACAAGGTTCTACGTGGACTAAATGGCTCACATATGGAACAGAGTATGATCACAGACAGTGTGACAGGAAGGGCCATGCAGCATGGAAAGGCAGTGTGCCCCAGAGGGAAGACACCCATCACCCATCATCCAGGGTGCTCACAGGAACAGTGGCTCTATCATAGTGGTATGCAGGCCCCTTGACTGAACACACATTCTGGAGCTGAGATCTACATGGAGCCCCAGGAGAGCTGCCTGCTCGCATTTCCCACATGGCCCTTCCTGAATAGGGCTCCCTTCCTCCCAGAACTTCTCTGAAGCACTTGCCACTCCCCACACTACACTCACATTTCTCTCCTGCCAACAGATTATTTGCATGGATAGGCTAAAGCCAGATGTCCCCAGAATCTAACAGTACGGCCCAAAATCGATGTTGTATAAGAAGCAAACCAACCTAAGCCACAAGAATGTGAGCGCTCATACCCCGGGCAGGGTCTTAGGGCCCATACCTGTATCCCCTCACCAGGCACCAGTCTAAGAAGTGAGGGCTAGCAGACAGGTGTCCTGGCCGCTTTACACCACAGGCTTTGGCTTGTCCTCTCCCATATGCCTCCAGTGGCTGCTCAGAAAATAGACCCAGCTTTGAGCCCTCGGTGTCAAGAGAGGAGCTGGGCTTTGGGGTAGTCTCTGAATCACATCACACACATCCTTAGGTACCCATTTTGCTTTTGGGTGCAAAGGCCAAGAGGGACAGGGTGATAGCAGTCCCTGGCGGTGTAGGCATGCCCACTTCTCCAGACAGGCTCTATACAACTCCGACCCTGCAGAGACGGTAGCATTCAGACCTCATCACTTATGCTGTCAGCTGTCAGTGGAAGTCACTTTTGCCTTGAATCCAGGGAGTTCTCAGCTCCCAGGGACTCAGATTAGTTCCCTCAATGGCAAAGGTGAGTTGGTGTTAAAGGCATAGTTCCTACAGCTCTTGGCGGCTAGGACAAACCAGAAATCATTGAGTAGCAGCCAGGAAGTGGGTGGCGCCCACCTGAACATCTGGAAGATGAAACCCCATGAAAAGGAAATCTTAAGTCTCCAGCTGCTGCCTAGAGCAAGACGTCAAAACACAGGGGCTCCACTAAGCCAGGCCACTCAAGTTTGCAGGAGGCTGGCTCCAGCTTCTTGGCGCTACTCAGCCACAGGATCCTGATGCTAAGCAGGCTGGCACCAGTCAGGATCAGCCTAGACGTGGGAGGTGCAAAGCCGCCTAAGAGGAAGGGGCTGGGGCCATGTGGGCAGGGCTGAGGTACACAGGATAGGGGGAAGGTCTCTGTTGGGTTTCCTACCCAGGCCCGCCACCCCTGGTGATTGATTTGGGCTGGCACTGTAGTGTCCAATGGTGAAGCTAGTGGCCAGTAGACTGTCCTGCCATGCTACGTCCATGCTTTCTCCTGTTTGCCTGTTTGTCCCAGCAAGCTAAGAGTATCTTCTTATGCTCCTCATGGTAACTATGGGCCTTGTAGTTCCTTCAAAAAACACCAGTACCAATATCCCAAAAGATACAAAGATACAGTCCCATGATGCTTAACAACAGGGATAATCTGAGCAACATGTTTTTAGGTGATTTCATTATTATGCAAACATCAGATTCCTTACACAAACCAACACTGCTATACTACTACCTGCCTAGACCCTATAGTGTTACTACACTGCGTATTATAGGCAACCCTAACACAATGATAAGTATTTGTGTATCTAAGTAGGTTTGTTTCTACCAGCATCATCATAAATATATAAGTAACTGTTGTGCTACAATGTTATAATGGCTACAAAGACATCAGTATAGGAATAGTTTAACTCAGTTAAAAACTTATGAGGACTATGGCTGGATATTTGGCCCATTGTTGATGGAAACATAATTATGTATAAATTTAGAATGATATAGGCATGGAGCTAACTGGTCTCCATAGCTACCTCAAAGCTAGGAGTTTTGGGAACATCCACGTGCACCCACTTAGGGAAAATGTGGGAATGTGAGTCAAGCCACTGATATAAGAACAAATGGATCGCTGGAAGGATGAAGGAGGACAGGACAGTGTGGCACAAGTAGCTTGGTGGCTGCTTTTTCAATGGAAAAGATGAGAAGGAAGGAATGGGCTACAAAAGCCTAAGTCCAGCCATGAAGGGCAGCTGTGAATGTGTTAGGGTTTGGAAGCTGTGCTAACAGACTTTGGTTCCTAAGGACAGTGAGACCAGCTCTACCCTGGTGCTCCGTATCATGGGACCATGTTCTGCAGCTATGACAGGCACTGCTGGCCAGGGCACAATGAGCCCTGAGTCCCCACCATAAGCCTGAGCAAAGGACTCAAGCAGTACCCATAGAGGAGGCAGAATGGGCACCTTGATCCTGGACACATGCAATAACCCATTGCAGTCCCATTCCCTCATGGTCAGAGCAAGGCCAAATCCCACTGCTGGTGCTGGGGACCAAGTCAGGTTTTATGGGCATCCCCTTAGGCATGGGCCTGAAGTACCAGAG